TATAAATAACAGTGACGGTGTGGCTATGACGTGTGTATCATTATATAAATAACAGTGACGGTATGGGCTTGACGTGTGTACCATTATATATATAACAGTGACGGTATGGCTATGACGTGTGTATCATTATATAAAGAACAGTGACGGTATGGCTATGACGTGTGTATCATTATATTATGACGTGTGTATCATTATATAAATAACAGTGACGGTATGGATATGACGTGTGTACCATTATATAAATAACAGCGACGGAATGGCTATGACGTGTGTATCATTATATAAATAACAGTGACAGTACGGCTATGACGTGTGTACCATTATATAAATAACAGTGACGGTATTGCTATGACGTGTGTACCGTTATATAAATAACAGTGACTATAAATAACAGTGACGGGATGGCTATGACGTGTGTATCATTTGTGTCGTTCATGGGACTTTAATTACCATGCCGCACGAGACACAATTCTTAGCGTATTAATTACAACACTGATCGGAACTACAATATCCAATGTAAATAAACATGACGGCTGGTGAAATATCGCTGGGCATTGTGAGATTTGATAATGTCGTTGTAACTTTATGTGCAAAATAAAAAGTAAAATAAAATACACTTTTATTACAACGAAAACAAGACCAAGGTCTGCAATATCGTACAAAATGCACATCGGTTGAAAACACCAATGCCGGCAATGGAAACAATTTTAACGCTCATGCAATTTATCAGAAATATCGTCTGTTACACTGCACTGATCAACAGGGGTTCGTTATAAATGTCTGAAATACACATATTCTGTAGACCTACCTAATGACACATATGTTACAGACCTACTGATGAGTCAAAGCACACATAAACATTCGTCATTTCAGACATTTGTAACGAACCTGTGCTCCGTCGCTAGATCACTCACTTCAAACGCAGCTGTATCAGTTTCACGCGTCTCGGATCCACGGTTCCTCAGTTTCAGACGACATGTCAAATAACGATGCTGTTATAGAATCTACCGATTGTTGTTGGGTTCCCATACAATCAACAAATACATTCACGCCTGGGTTCTTCACAAAACGAGCAAAGAGCAAAGTTCGAATTAACTTCCAAATATAACTCCCTCGTGGAGGTCAAGGTCCCATTCACGGTGTTCACTTGGCTATGACGTGTGTACCATTATATAAATAACAGTGACGGTATGGCTATGACGTGTGTATCATTATATAAATAACAGTGACAGTACGGCTATGACGTGTGTACCATTATATAAATAACAGTGACGGTATATTGTATTGATACTAAATTGTGGAATAAATTTGAAGTGTTTGTTAAAATGTCAAAGTACTACTTTGTTTGCCAATCAGCACGCGACAATACGCTGTTCAAACTATTGAACGAAATTGTGTGGACCGTCGATAAGGCGGGCAGTTTTTGATTTAAATTATAAATTATAAGTTAAAAAATAACATAAGAGGCAGAGAAAACGTAAATATAAGAATTGAACTGTTTTTGTATGATATTTATGATCTATTTGAATGACACAGCTTTGCAAGCAAACAACATAATGCGCGCTAATAGATCATAAATATCATACAAAAACAGTTCAATGCTTAAATAAATAACAGTGACGGTATGGCTATGACGTGTGTATCATTATATAAATAACAGTGACGGTATGGCTATGACGTGTGTACCATTATATAAATAACAGTGACGGTATGGCTATGACGTGTGTATCATTATATAAAAAACAGTGACGGTATGGCTATGACTTGTGTATCATTATACATATAACAGTCACGGTATGGCTATGACGTGTGTACCATTACATAAATAACAGTGACGGTATGGCTATGACGTGTGTATCATTATATAAAAAAAACAGTGACGGTATGGCTATGACTTGTGTATCGTTATATATATAACAGTGACGGTATGGCTATGACGTGTGTATCATTATATAAATAACAGTGACGGTATGGCTATGACGTGTGTATCGGATATGACGTGTGTACCATTATATAAATAACAGTGACGGAATGGCTATGACGTATGTACCATTATATAAAAAAGAGTGACGGTATGTCTATGACTTGTGTATCATTATATATATAACAGTGACGGTATGGCTATGACGTGTGTACCACTATATAAATAACAGTGACGGTATGGCTATGACGTGTGTACCATTATATATATAACAGTGACGGTATGGCTATGACGTGTGTACCATTATATAAATAACTGTGACGGTATGGCTATGACGTGTGCATCATTATATAAATAACAGTGACGGTATGGCAATGACGTATGTACCATTATATTAATAACAGTGACGGTATGGCTATGACGTGTGTACCATTATATAAATAACAGTGACGGTATGGCTATGACGGCTGTATTATTATATAAATAACAGTGACGGGATGGCTATGACGTGTGTACCATTATATAAATAACTGTGACGGTATGGCTATGACGTGTGTATTATTATATAAATAACAGTGACGGGATGGCTATGACGTATGTACCATTATATAAATAACAGTGACGGTATGGCTATGACGTGTGTATTATTATATAAATAACAGTGACGGTATGGATATGGCGTGTGTACCATTATATAAATAACAGTGACGGTATGGCTATGACGTCTGTATTATTATATAAATAACAGTGACGGTATGGGTATGATGTATGTACCATTATATAAATAACAGTGACGGTATGGCTATGACGTGTGTATTATTATGTAAATAAAAGTGACGGTATGGCTATGACGTGTGTATCATTATATAAATAACAGTGACGGTATGGCTATGACGTGTGTACCATTATATAAATAACAGTGACGGTAAGGCTATGACGTGTGCATCATTATATAAATAACAGTGACGGTATGGCTATGACGTGTGTACCATTATATAAATAACAGTGACGGTATGGTTATGGCGTGCGTGTCATTATATAAAAAACAGTGACGGTATGGCTATGGCGTGCGTATCATTATATAAATAACATTGACGGTATGGTTATGGCGTGCGTATCATTATATAAAAAACAGTGACGGTATGGCTATGGCGTGCGTATCATTATATAAATAACAGTGACGGTATGGCTATGACGTGTGTATCATTATATAAATAACAGTGACGGTATGGCTATGACGCGTGTCTTTGAATCTCTGAGATATCTACGGGTATAGAATGTATATCTGTTCATCCCTCTCGCAGACAATGACATAAGACGGCATCGATGTATTAAATATAATACAGCTTCATCGTGTTACGTAAGAATGCAACGAAACAAGCCCCTACAATTAAATTTGGAGGATATCAATAAATATTTACATTTGAAAGGCATTGTCACTATATAGTCTATTTGAAAGCTGTGTAGTTGATGGGACTTTAGATACCATGGACCACGAGACATAATTCATTGCGTATTAATACAACACCGACCGGAACTACAATATCCAATGTAAACAAACATGACGGTTGCTGAATATCGATGTGCATTGTGAGACTTGACAATGTAATTGTAAATGTGTTAAAAAAAATATATTCAAAAATTACTTTTATTACAACATCATTGAAAATAACCAATGGAAATAACTTTAACACTCAGTCTCATGCAATTCATAAGAAATATCGTCTGTTACACTGCACTGATCCAGAGGGGCTCGCTACAAATGTCTGAAATACACATATGCTATAGACCTACTGATATGAGTCACAGCACAAAAACAAACAAAAGGCATATGTGTATTTCAGACTGTAACGAGCCCCTGTGCTCTGTCGCAATATCACTAACTTCAAACGCTATCAGTATCACGTGTCTATCAGCCACGGTTTCCTCAGTTTCTGACGACATGTCAAATAACGAGGCGGTTGTAGAATCTATTGACTGTAATCAGATAACTATACAATCAACAAAAATTCGAACTTTTCTTTTGCTCATTCAATTTTCAAAAATACCTCCCTCGTGGAGGGCAAGGTCGGATTACGGTATTCACCGTATTTATCCATGTGCGTAATTTGTTCTGGAGGAAAAATAAAAACAATTTCAAATCTAATTTTCAGCTCAGATTTCTATTGATAAGCTTAAATCACCCTATAGACATAGCATACGCAATTGTATTGATACTGAATTGGGGAAAAAATTGAAGTGTTTGATAGATTTCAAAGTACTACTTTGTTTGCCAATCAGCACGCGACAACACGCTGTTCCAACCATTGAACAAATCTGTGCGGACTGTCGATAAGGCGGAAATTTTAAATATAACTTTTAAGTTGAAAATGAACATAAAAGATATAGAAAACGTAAAAATAAGCATTGAACTGTTTTTGCAAGCGCGCATTATGATGTTTGCTTATAAAGCTGTCATTCAAATAGATCATAAATACCATACAAAAACTGTTCAATCCTTAAATATCACAAGTATGACAGAACACCAATAATTATGTAAATGAATGGAAATTATGATTATATTCTGGAAACTGAGTGAAATAGGCAAATCATTCAATGGGAAAAACCGTCCATTTTCCATTGTTTTACACTTTAAAGTATTCAGACTGGAATGTCTGGCATTTGAAGAGCAGATATTACTAACGACGTTACGCTTGTGAACAAGGTTATGCGTCATTTTGAATGGGTCATTTAACTTAATTCTACAATCTGCTACATGTATAATCTTATCAGATTTTACGGAAATATTATAATACGTGTAAATATCTGTCTGATAAGCCGATATACATTTATTTCTTCCCGTTATAATCTGAGTTATACAAATTTATATATCATTTCCAAAATGCAGCAAATGACGTATATTGTGTGTTTTAAGGGATAGCTCGATAGAAATATTTAAAATAGACTTGTTGCGCTATGCCAGATGTCGAATAAATGAATGGGGCATTAATGTTACTTCATTCACGTATGGATACATATTATCCAGATATCCTTTCTTCTGTTCATTACTTAGAGAAGTCTTTACGTTTTTTCTTTGTAGTTGCTACTACACATCACGCCCTGCTACTTACAACAAAAATCAGGATGGTGGAATGGTCAGGCCTCGCCCACGACTAGCCACAACAGCCGCACACCGACCTCAGGCAGTCACCCAGGCGGTCAAGTTGTAAATCCATCCTGGAACGAAGCTCCTAAGTCATGGCCAAACACAGAACCATCGGGTTGGTCAGCGTCTCAAAAGAGGCAAGTGACTGTCAAACCTAGAAACATGAACGGTCCTCCGTCTAGTAGACATAGACCTCAAACTACCAGACGACCACGGCCAGGTGAGAAAAATGGTGTTCGTAATAATAACTGGAAACCAAGCGTCTATCGATATCAACATGGAAAAAAACCCGCATCGCCCAAATGGTCCGTAAAATCGGGGACGCCGACGTGGAACGCGCCAGGAATGCAAGGTGTTCCACCTCCAAAACGAAAATGGGGGAATTCTTGGGGTCAAAATAGAGAACCTGGTCACAAGATAAAGAATGTTCCTAAACCCCACGAGTTAGTGAAAGGGTGGTCGACTACTGGAACACAAGCATTGTGGACGGATCAGGGCGATCCTAAAAATGCTCCTGCGACAACATCACAATCTCAAAGACCCGCTTGGATGAAGAAACGACCAGCAACTCCCACAACACATCAGACAAATAAAGGCAAAGTATACCATTCCAATGGCCCTAGGAGACCTCCATATCAACAGCGCCGCACCGGGTATACGCCCAAGCCATACCCACAGACGGGTTATACACCTAAACCACCTTTCCCTAGGACTGGATATACTCCTAAACCATATCATCGGGCATCTGGCAACCCACACGAGAGACATCCATCGCGCAAACCTTCAAATTACCAGAATGATAAAAGACATCGATCATCAAATCATCCGAGAGATAACCCTTCAAGAAATCCCCAATATCACAGAGAAACTCCAATGAATAAGGTAACATCACCTCCACCACAACGTAGACATGACAAAATCACCGGATTTTCAACACCTCCACGGTTCGATAGCCCAAAGCCTCGAGATCCAGTGACAACCAGTCGTGGGCCTAGCAGACCCATAACACACAAATCCACATGGGCAGAATCTTCCCGTCCAAAGACTGCCAGTGGTGGACGTTTTGAACCAAGCCGAGGAGAAACTTTCCATCGTGCAGAACCAAAGCGTGTTGACGCTTTTCATCAAAACGAACCGCGACAAAAGGAGACAGTTCCGCGTAGGAATTCTAGCCATAGACAAATCGGCTTTCCGAAAGAGCGTCAACAAAGCAATTCTTTTCAACCAAAAGAACCAAGATCCAGAAAAGCCGATCCTCGAAAAGAGCGTACACGGAGCAAAACCTTTACAGACATTAAACCCAGCCGAAGCAATTCTGTTTATCGTAAGATAGAAGCAGTACATGTTGATCCACCACCAACATCGCCAAACGTTATCGTTACCCACGAGCCAATACCATCAGCGCGACCGAACCGCATCAGTAACACTCCAAAGACTGATTCAGCCCATCTCAGTAGTGTAGCGTCCTCACACAAAGATCCAACACTCAGCGATACATTCCTCCACCTTGATGCTAGAGAAAGCAATACAATAAAACCCACCGAAATTGGCCATATTGAAATATATACTCAAACAGAGCCAACCCACAGCACCACAATTGCACCAACAGAATCAGTTCACATCGATTCTCACACTAGTAAGCAGAAATCAAGTCCCAAAGGAGAAACTTTAGGCATGGAAGCACAAACAACACAAGCTATTATGTTTGAAACAGCGACATCGCAGACAACTACGGAAATACTGCATATTAACGATATTACGGATATAACAAACACTCCAATTCCACAGGAGTCAGTTCAGATAGCGGTGGATATCAAGCCAATTAACCCCACTAAAGCTGCAGAACCAGAATATAAGAGAGATCCGATTACAGAGAAAATAATAGCGGAACTTAAACGGAAACTCAAAATCATGTCCTCGTCAAACTATAGAAAATCTACCTCAGATCAACCTGACGGAAATGTAAGCGTGTCTGTGTTGGAAGTTATGCAACAGCAACAAAAGCCTTCTACTGATCCACAAAAAAAACCGGTGGCGTCAAAAACAAGAGAGAACTCTATTGCAAAGGATTCGCATCATGTTCCAGCAAGTCAGCCTAAACAAGGCCGGAAAAGTAATACAGAAAGACGAACTCTTCCCGATGGTCATCCGGAACGCAGTAGGAGTAGGAGTAGGAGTGAGCCCGATATGTCCCAGATATTACATACGGAAAGACCACCTCCACCAGAGCGAACGTCTCATGCCGGTAATGGTGGATACCAGTCAGAATTCGCACATAATACCGACATCCATCATGAAGAAGTGGTACAGCCAAGACGTACGAAATCGCGGCGAATTCCGGATACCTTGGAAACACCTCACCGTGAACGGTCACATAGACAATCAAAATCTCATCCGAACGAACGACATAGTAGTTCTCATTCAAGCAGGAATACTATGGATCGTAATGCCAATGTAGAACCCGCTCATCCTCGCGACCAACTCCCAGAAGAGAGAGTGAGATCTAACCGGCGTAAAGCAGATATCCATGAAGTAGGATATTATGAGGGCGTGACTGGGGTTCGACAAAAGCCAACTTCCCATCCAGATGATTTAAGACATCCTCCACGTACGGGACGTCGTCGTGTTGACCGACGTCACAATCCAAAAGAGCATATGCCAGATAGACGCACTGTTGAGCCAACAATAGAATTTATTGGGGAACAGCATACAGACAATCATAAAGCAAGAAAAACTGGTAGAAAAAGACACTTGCTAGACCCAAGACCGGCACCAATCCCTCCTCGTGATTTAAAAACTCCAGGAATACAGGCTGAGCCAGGAGAGTTACTGTCAGTATATGATAGTAAGACAGACACTTTTATTGAGTCGCCACCCAATTTCACTCCACGCCCGAAGAGTGAGGGTGATCTTTGGGGTAAAAGTCAACCAACCCCACCACCTCCGCATGCCCCACCCCCTCCGCATGCCCCATCAGCACACGAGCCGCCACCGGATCACTGGAGATCTAATCCTCATGCAACCAATCCACATGTAGCGCCACCGAGCCGTCATATACCAGCACCAGACCCCTATGCACCACCACCTGACCCCCGTGCTCCGCCACCTTCGGCTTATTCTAATGATGACGGTTGGTCAAGGCGCCATCCCGGTTATTCTCCTGGAGCAGCAAATGCATTCACAAATCGGCACGCTTCAGTAAATACCGATTTACATATGTCTGAACAACAAGGCTACGCGCCAGAACCATATCGAAGCCATCCTCCACAAGGACCTCATCCTTATGAGTATCAAGGAGGTCCACAGGCATCATACCCACAAGGCAGTCCACCAGACCCTTACCCACCAGCTGGTCCAACGGATCCTTATCATCAAGCCGGCCCACCAGATTCCTATCCAGCAGCAAATCAACCAGGACCGTATTATCCAGATCCGCATGCACACCATCCACCGCCATATGCGGATGCCCCACCTGTGGGCCTGGTCGATCCCTACGGTCCCCCTCCACCACCTCCAACCGTGGGCCCGCGTCCGTTATATCATACCCCTGCCACCATACCGACAACCACTGACGACGATCACGTGATAGTTCCAGCAGTCAGGGGTAATGCATGGTATCCCACAGCACATCCATCGGTCGGTCAGCACCCCCCGGCTTACCATACAACACCATCACCAATGACAAACTTTAACCCTTATCCGGGACCACCGTACGCTCCACATCCTCCAGAAGGAAGACCTCCACCGGTATATGATGCACCAATGTTTGTAAGTAAATTATGCTATATTTGTAACATTCTAAGGTTAACACAATAAAGTGTTTTTTTAATGGATCTAGATGAACTCAAAGAAAATACATAATATGATTAAACAATATATCAAAGTCTACATAAAAGGCTTTACAAACTTTCATTATTTATATATATTCTAAATATAGAACCAGTACACGATCAGATATCCGGATGGATCTGCCTCCAAAGAAGAATACACTGAAGTGACTAGCGCTGTTCAGAGGATAGTTAACTACGTGTATGAAAGTACGTTGAGGGAATACAAGATCGCTGACTACTTCGTCATGGACAGAAATACGGTGGGTCTCAACGTGACGACATTTTTTGTAATGAGAAAAGGTCTGACAAGTTTGTTGTAAGTGATGTCGACGCTATTGATCCTCGATGTGCTCATTGGCACACAGGACATCTAAACATATATCCTCTTCCTTTGTGCTCATTGGCACACAGGACATCTAAACATATATCCTCCTCCTTTGTGCTCATTGGCACACATAACATCTAAACATATATCCCCCTCCTTTGTGCTCATTGGCACACAGGACATCTAAACATATATCCTTCTCCTTCGTGCTCATTGGCACACAGGACATCTAAACATATATCCTCCTCCTTTTCCGTCTTTATATCTCACTTCAACCGTACTTTTATATGTACATTTTGTTCCCAGCAGTTCTCGTCGAATTTGAATGATTTTGTACAGTTTTGCTTCCCTTCTATTTCTAAAGTTGTTACCTGTTACATACATGTATATATTGCTTTCTCGGTGATGTTACCTTATATATTCTGCCCTAGGTTTATTGATATGGCGTTCGTATTATGGGTTTGCTGACACTTCAGTATTTCCTTTGTTCATTTGTTTAACCTGTGCAAGCAACGTCAGCTCCAAAAAGGTCTACTTCAAAATAATCTGGCAAGAATAACAGAAGAACCAAATGGACGATCCTACTGTTGAGTGTTAAGTGTGTTCTCTAAATCCATTCCGTGTTCATTTACAGGACAGTTTCGCCATACGGATAGCAAAGGACATGTGCTACGTCGGTACTCTAGACTCGGCCATTCTTGATTCTTTTACGGAATACACAATGAAAACTAGAAATGCAACAGTAAGTAAAGGATGGTCTTGGATACGATTTAAACATGCTGCGTTAATAATGCTAAAACTGTCTTAATTTTTATTGTATAATAGATTCGGAAAAGTGTGTTCAATCATTCCTGAAATTAATATATCAATCCTACTTATCTTAACAATATTCTTAATGGGTATTACAAGAATCGCTTAACAAATCAATACATCCCTCTGAATTCTCTTTTTGATAATTGATCATATCAAGAAGTATACGAAAATTAATTAATATATAACCTATAAACATAAATCATGGACGCTCTGTAGGTAGATGAACAATAGCATGTGTTTTCTCTCTTTATAAATAAAAAGCGATGACTTTATAAAGAGTTCATTTCAATTATTTTATTTTTTATTTTATTTTACTTTAATCGTATTTTTTCAACTTTTCTTTATAGAAAGCAGTGCTCTACAGCAACGATCGACTGTTCTTCTTCAAGGAGATAGAACAGGTGTTGTTTAGTGACGTCAACAGCACACGGGGCGGTTACATTGCTGGCTCGTGCGGGGACGCGTTCATGTTCACAGTTAGGATGGTTAAACCCAGAAGTAGGTAGCAATATATCTTTCACTATTAATTATTTACACCTTTCATTAAGTTCTAATACCTATATATTGTAATCAAATGCTAACACCTTTACCTTGTACCAAGTATTACTTTACCTCATCTATATAACAGCTTGTCTTAAAGGGGTCTATAGATCACATGACAGGAACATAAAACATCGTGTCGCCTTCAAGCACTAGTCACTACATCCGAGTTCCGAGTGTCTTAAGCAGACACCAGCAAAGGCGCGTCCATCTGACTGTCTTTACTGTTGAGCAATTGTTTAAGTTCGGTATAATACAATATTTATTGTGGTAGAGAAGCACGATTCTTTGTTTGTCCTCGAAAAATCAGCTTACACTGGGCATCGCCCTCGCAAAACATGAGATATTTCGGGCAAATCAGAAATCTGCTTTCCTATAGCTAGGGCAGTATACTATTACTTAATCACATATTGTCCTAGGGTTCAATAAATGTTATATTTATTAAAATGTATTAAAATAAGTAATTAAACTATTTTTTATAATACTGATTTATTTTGGCAGTTATACACATGAATGATGGCTCAATACTACCGGGAAGCACGTGTCCTTACGGTGCACCACTGAAGGATCCACGTGGTCTGGTCACTTCCTGTAAATCAGGTTACTGTGAGTCACGTGACCACGCGTGCGACGCTACCCGCCATATATGTTGTCCTAAGAGTGAGTACCTATTTATAGATTGCGCCTACTGCATTTGACATAAAAATGGAGAAATGTAATTAGTTACATTTCCATTTTTTCCTATTCTTTAAACAAAGAACTCTACGTAACAGTATAATTTTACATTTAGGTACATATCATGTGAATAAAATTCTTTAAAACATTGCCTATTTTTGCTGTCTAGACAATTATAGTCTGGGAGATTTTTTGTGTTATATCATGGATAGCTAGATATTTTATATCTTAAAGCATTAGTGATGCTGAGAGCTAAAATGATGAGCCAATTACATACCGTATATTTACTAATGATTAATTACATGCGTTTATGGGTTAAGTGATACATTTGAAATATATTAGTAATAAGGATGCTAATTATGGTTATGTAACCTATCCTTTATATAAAATTGCAATAAAGCTTTTCCTGTATTTATACTAGTAATCTCGGTTACTGTTTTCCTGTATTCATACTAGTAATCTCGGTTCTGTGATCCTGTATTCATACTAGTAATCTCGGTTACTGTTTTCCTGTATTCATACTAGAAATCTCGGTTCTGTTTTCCTGTATTCATACTAGTAAGCTCGGTTCTGTTTTCCTGTATTCATACTAGTAAGCTCGGTTCTGTTTTCCTGTATTCATACTAGTAAGCTCGGTTCTGTTTTCCTGTATTCATACTAGTAATTTCGGTTCTGTTTTCCTGTATTCATACTAGTAATTTCGGTTCTGTTTTCCTGTATTCATACTAGTAATATCGGTTACTGTTTTCCTGTATTCATACTAGTAATCTTGGTTACTGTTTTCCTGTTCCTGTATTTATACTAGTAATCTCGGTTACTGTTTTCCTGTATTCATATTAGTAATCTCGGTTCTGTTTTCCTGTATTCATACTAGCAATCTCGGTTACTGTTTTCCTGTATTCATACTAGCAATCTCGGTTACTGTTTTCCTGTATTCATACTAGAAATCTCGGTTCTGTTTTCCTGTATTCATACTAGTAATCCCGGTTACTGTTTTCCTGTATTCATACTAGTAATCTCGGATCTGTTTTCCTGTATTCATACTAGTAATCTCGGTCACTGTTTTCCTGTATTCATACTAGTAATCTCGGTCACTGTTTTCCTGTATTCATACTAGTAATCTCGGATCTGTTTTCCTGTATTCATACTAGTAATCTCGGTTACTGGTTTCCTGCATTCATACTAGTAATCTCGGTTCTGTTTTCCTGTATTAATACTAGTAATCTCGGTTACTGTTTTCCTGTATTCATATTAGTAATCTCGGTTCTGTTTTCCTGTATTCATACTAGCAATCTCGGTTACTGTTTTCCTGTCTTCATACTAGTAATCTCGGTTCTGTTTTCCTGTATTTATACTAGTAATCTCGGTTACTGTTTTCCTGTATTCATACTAGAAATCTCGGTTCTGTTTTCCTGTATTCATACTAGTAAGCTCGGTTCTGTTTTCCTGTATTCATACTAGTAATTTCGGTTCTGTTTTCCTGTATTCATACTAGTAATCTCGTTTCTGTGATCCTGTATTCATACTAGTAATCTCGGTTTCTGTTTTCCTTTATTCATACTAGTAATCTCGGTTCTGTTTTCCTGTATTTATACTAGTAATCTCGGTTACTGTTTTCCTGTATTCATACTAGCAATCTCGGTTACTGTTTTCCTGTCTTCATACTAGTAATCTCGGTTCTGTTTTCCTGTATTAATACTGTTTTCCTGTATTCATACTAGTAATCTCGGATCTGTTTTCCTGTATTCATACTAGTAATCTCGGCTACTGTTTTCCTGTATTCATACTAGTAATCTTGGTTACTGTTTTCCTGTTCCTGTATTTATACTAGTAATCTCGGTTACTGTTTTCCTGTATTCATACTAGCAATCTCGGTTACTGTTTTCCTGTCTTCATACTAGTAATCTCGGTTCTGTTTTCCTGTATTAATACTAGTAATCTCGGTTACTGTTTTCCTGTATTCATATTAGTAATCTCGGTTCTGTTTTCCTGTATTCATACTTGTAATCTCGGTTCTGTTTTCCTGTATTCATACTAGTAAGCTCGGTTCTGTTTTCCTGTATTCATACTAGTAATCCCGGTTACTGTTTTCCTGTATTCATACTAGTAATCTTGGTTACTGTTTTCCTGTATTCATACTAGTAATCTCGTTTCTGTGATCCTGTATTCATACTAGTAATCTCGGTTTCTGTTTTCCTGTATTCATACTAGTAATCTCGGCTACTGTTTTCCTGTATTCATACTAGTAATCTTGGTTACTGTTTTCCTGTATTCATACTAGTAATCTCGGTCACTGTTTTCCTGTATTCATACTAGTAATCTCGGTTCTGTTTTCCTGTATTCATACTTGTAATCTCGGTTCTGTTTTCCTGTATTCATACTTGTAATCTCGGTTCTGTTTTCCTGTATTCATACTAGTAATTTCGGTTCTGTATTCCTGTATTCATACTAGTAATCTCGGTTACTGGTTTCCTGTATTCATACTAGTAATCTCGGTTCTGTTTTCCTGTATCAGATTTTCTGTAAACTTGTTTTTATGTAACCATGGCTTAAAATGATGTTTTCTTATTACAGTGCCGACATCGACCAGATGTATGAGCCTTTCGATAGGGAAGTTCTGCGTCACCTACTCCCCAAACAACGTCATCATTAACTAAGGAAACGGACACATTGGGGGTGTCTAAGGGGTATCATATTCACCGCCGTATCTTGACGGCTGATTTCTCAAAGGCTTAATAAAGATATTAAACTTTCGACGGGAATCGACGACAGCTCTGTTTGGTAGAGCCATGCGAGGACTAGCACAGACGAGTGTGCTGGTGGGATACTTTACCTATAATTCTCTACAGACGATAAGTAGGACAGTTCCTACCTCAACATGTCTTTATTTTACCCTGTAGTTGTCTCGCTGGACATGTAGCCTTCAGAAAGTGTACCTTTATTGGACGACCTGTATTCTGGTCAGGAATGGCTGACAAAACAATCACAGACAAATCGTTGACGTTACATGATACAATTGAAAGCACAAATACCAATAGCATTAATATTGATTTTATATGATCTAGTACCAGTAGGTTATTTTCATAAGTGACGTTTCAAGCAACAGTAGTTGAATTTGTGTTAATACCTGTATTCCCCCGGCAAGAAGCCGTCGTGACAATCGATTGAAGGATTCGTAGTTTCACCAATGTGTTTCTGTACGACTGTTGGTCTCCGATGGAGACAGACATTCAACAACGACAGTCACTAATGTTCTTTTTACAGAAAAGTTAACGAACGCTGCACTCCCAGCCGAAAAGTACCGGAGAAAGAAGAGACACCAGTTCAAGTGTGTCTTTCTGAGCAATGGACCTTCTCACCGTCCTATAGACCTTATAAACAGGAGTATCTGCTGTCAGAGCAGTATCAACGTTATTCCTGACAAAGCCTCGTGTGTACCTGTATATTGAACCATGAAATAGAGTTTATTTGATACTTGGCAGGAGAAGGCTGTTCAAATAGTATATTACAGGTGATGTATAATTGTTGCATTGTTTTGTATCATTTGCGTTAATGATACAATGGATAGTTCTATATAACAAAAATAGACAATTTAAATGTAGTGTATGTAGTCGTACTTAACGGATTCACTCACATGGTACTTCTCGGTACTGGTAGTAGTACCTTACGAGCCTATGCATAATGACCTCTGGGAAAGTGCTCTCCATTGAGTACTCATTAGGTTGTAGTACCGTTAGTTTCGATGCAGAGTACACGTGACGTATGTCCGTGATCTAGTATTTAATATCACATAGCAAATTTGGACTAGGAACATTGATTAAAAATGTGAAAATAAAAAGTAGGAAACAAGTTTTGTTTAGTATTCATTAATAAGAACCTATCCATACAGATTGTTTATTTAATGTGTATCTGTAAAAGGATGGGTCTGATCAGAACAGTGTCACTCTACAAGGAAATAATGGAAAGGTCAACCTGCCCTGGTGTCACACTGATGTGCTAGTATGTTCGAGGAGTGTGGTTCGTCATCGTGTGATTGACAGCTGTCTAGTACATTGCACCTACCTCCTATAGATGGACATACTTATTATGCAGTCGACGTCCCAGCAATCGGAGTTTACCCTTTGATCAAAAGAGCTAAAGATGGTTCAATATAGAAATGTGACGCCATATTTATTTATTTATGTAAATGATTTTGGTATAAAATATAGATTGTTTTAATCTGCATATAGTTATAAGACAATACAGTCACACAGCATGGCTATTAGTGAAGTAATATTCGCATCTATCAAACACTCGGGCTAAACCCAGTATATTGTTTGATATTATATACAGCTTTTCTGTGTACCTCTATAGTTCGGGTAAAAGCATAACACCACCCCCACCCCCCTTTTTTTTTAATCGTTCGAAAACAAATTGATGATAAGGAGTTTCCTGAATAACTTCTATAAAGATAAGAAACAGCGAAGTTACGATCAAGCGTGTTAACAGACTGTAGGGGTCACACAACCACTCCCTATAACTTATAGTGTGGGGTACTGGTTATACACAGACTGTAGGGGTCACACAACCTTACAATATATCTACTCCCTATAACTTATAGTGTGAGGTACTGGTTATACACAGAGTGTAGGGGTCACACAACCTTACAATATATCTACTCCCTATAACTTATAATGTGAGGTACTGGTTATACACAGACTGTAGGGGTCACACAACCTTACAATAGATCTACTCCCTATAACTTATAATGTGGGGTACTGGTTATACACAGTCTGTAGGGGTCACACAACCTTACAATAGATCTACTCCCTATAACTTATAGTGTGGGGTCCTGGTTATACACAGACTGAAGGGGTCACACAACCTTACAATAGATCTACTCCCTGTAACTTATAATGTGAGTTACTGGTTATACACAGAGTGCAGGGGTCACACAACCTTACAATAGATCTACTCCCTATAACTTATAGTGTGAGGTACTGGTTATACAGAGACTGTAGGGGTCACACAACCTTACAATAAATCTAATCCCTATAACTTATGGGCCACACAACCTTACAATAGATCTAATCCCTATAACTTATAATGTGAGTTACTGGTTATACACAGACTGCAGGGGTCACACAACCTTACAATATATCTACTTACTATAACTTATAATGTGGGGTACTGGTTATACACAGACTGTAGGGGGTCACACAGCCTTACAATATATCTACTCCCTGTAACTTATAATGTGAGTTACTGGTTATACACAGTCTGTAGGGGTCACACAACCTTACAATAGATCTACTCCCTATAACTTATAATGTGGGATACTGGTTATACACAGACTGTAGGGGTCACACAACCTTACAATATATCTACTCCCTATAACTTATAATGTGAGTTACTGGTTATACACAGTCTGTAGGGGTCACACAACCTTACAATAGATCTACTCCCTATAACTTATAATGTGGGATACTGGTTATACACAGACTGTAGGGGTCACACAACCTTACAATATATCTACTCCCTATAACTTATAATGTG